AGGGGAGAAGGATGGATTCGTGCTCACTCCAACTGGAAAGGTCCACTAGTTGAGCCATTACTCTCTGCATTCTTCCTGAAATAAGTCAAACAAAAGAAATTTCAGCCCATTAAATGAAGAAACGTTGGTGTCTTGAAGTGGAAGAACAGTCTCTCCTTTTGCCCCATCTTTTGATTTAATAGTTAAATGAGGTACTCCGTAACACCAAGGCAACTCAAAAAGTCTCAGGGAGCAAGCCACCATATAGGGCCTTCCCCTTACAAAGGTTGAGTTATACATGGGTAATTGGGACGTCTTATCTTTTGCCCATTATACACTATGTGCAAGATGAACAAAGATGAGGGCATGCAACACCTACTCAGCATTTAATTAGAACACAATTTCTAGAACGATTAAGATCTCCAGCAGTTTGCAACAATTGAGTTTATGATCACTGGCTTATGGGATTCACTCGAACGTGAAGCTCTTGAATTGTTCCACCCATGTATCTCTGACACCCCTCTACCATATGTTTTGACAACAAAATAAACATAAGGGGATGGCTTTGCTTTGAGTAGGTGGTGGAACTGAAAAGCATAGTAATTAATATTCAGTCAATCTATCATTGAACATGGATAATGAGGTTAGGAAAGCACAGTTGCCAAGAGCAGTTTACCTACATGACAAATAAATGGCTCCCCACCAATCCTTTACCAATAACACGACCCAATTTACCTACACTCGTATATCTGTAGGTTTAAACCACATGCTTCTCAATTCTTTGAATCCAATTTGCTTTGACAATATCCGAAAAAGGGCTTACCATAAGGTGCTCCCCCTGCTAGTGCAGAATAGAGAGAGGGAACGTCTTCCACTTGCATTTCTGCAAAGATGCTATTCCTACGCTCCCTCACCTATCTGCCACGAAGTGAGCAACTCTACCGTAGCACCAAGGCCAATATGAACCGTACTGGTGAAAAAATAGCAACTTTTTTTCCCAATTTTCATGCTAGACAAATATTTCTCTGTTATAAACTATCAGGAATAGCATATTTTGCAATTTGAAGACAAGCAAGCAAATGGGTGGCTTAAACAGGCAACAATTAAGAGAAAGAAATAGAATCAGAAGGTAGCCAAATGAGTTATACTAGTAAAGAATATTACCCGACGCAACAGATAACCGAAGCTCGGAAAGGTTTGCCGTTAGCCGGAGAGAACATGCGAAGAGGAGGAGGAGTTTTAGCGATCGATAAACTGGAAAGCATCTCCGTGATCATTGTCCAGTAGCGAAGATTGTGTACGACTGTGACTGAGAGAGACGTGAATAGCTATGATAAAAAGGAATGGAGTGGAGATTTTGCTAGTTTCTAGAGTCAAAGTGTCACGTGATTTTGCTCCAACATAGCAGATGACATTTAAAATGACCAAAAAGTCCTTCTCTTAACTGCTTAACCGCCCGCCACAACCGTCACTTGCGAATTACAAGAAAACTAGTATAGTACCCGCGCGATGCGCGGAAAATACGAAGAAAAAAATATAATAAATTATTAACTTAGTTGCTTAACCAGCTCATTTTTTTATAACTTGATCAATCATAAAATTTAAACCATTTGATCGACGAAAGTTTATAATAAGGCAAGTAAGGTAGGAAAAATTATTTTATGTAGCCTAAATTCCCGTAAGATATTGTGTTATGTACAATGAGAATTTAATTTAACTTAACTTACTATAATTATGTGATTTAGTTATGTATGCATTAAAATGATGAGTAAGTAACAGAAGTGTATGTGTAGTCACATATAATAAACTATCGGATTTCCACTACAAACTACATGCTTCCTTGGCTTAATTTAAGTTTTTAGAAATCGAAGCCCGAGAAAAAGCCGAAAGCAATCACAAATTAAATAAAATTACATTTATTTGATTTATTTTTCCATGTTAGTTCTACATGAAAACTACATATAGCTTCATCAATAATATACCAAATCAACCGTCCATCCCAAGTTGATATAGAGAGAAAGACATTATGAAATCACATTTATACTTTAGTAGCAAGTAAAATTTGGCTCAACTTGGAGATTAGTGTTTCAAGAAACGTGAAGAATTACTCGCTGCGAATAATTATTAAAGCCCATGCAATGCTTTGTTTAATAAGGAACATTTCTTATATTACGTGTGAATACGATCTACACAATAATAAAATCTCTATTAAATCAAAGGTACTTATATAGTTATCGAATAATTTTTGGTTGAATATATTATTTATTATATTAACCAATATACAAAATTTCTTGAAAAGTTATAATGGGAGTTTAACAGAGTGAGTAAAATTTATGTGAATATTTCAATCATAACATAGTTGCTGCCATATTATTTTTCTATGTTACTTCCTTAACAATTGCCGCGGCCAAACAATATAAATATCTATTAATAGTTTATACTCACGGAAAGGAACATAACTGAAGTTTAAATTTTCATTTATAAAGATATATTGTACTGCGAGGCTACTTTGGATGAATTCATATTTGTTACTACATGACTATATATAGATTCCTCATTAATTTTTGATTTGAAAAGACGCAAAAAAGATTGTAAAGTATTACAATACATGAGAATTACTATACATGAAAGCATTGATGTGAGCAGCATCGATTTGGATGGTAGAACTGCTCTTCACATTGCTGCCTGTGAAGGCCATGTGGAAGTTGTCATGCTTCTGTTGAGTAGGAAGGCTAATATGGATGGCCGTGACAGGAAATTAAGTATTTGGTATGGGTGGAAGCTATGGCTTCGACACAGTTGGGATCTGAGGGTTTGTGAAGGTTGGAATTTTTTGTGTACCATATAGTAATATATAGTAAGAGGCAGGAAAAATGGCAACCAAACGGCTCGACATTTCAAGGGACGCAGTTGAGAGTGCCTGGACCATCTTTAAAAGATGAAAGACTCTTAAACCTAACAGTTTGTTTAATCGCGCCACACAACTTAATTCTACTGCTAAAGCTGCTACTACTAAGAATGCCAACAGATAAACATACTTGGTCACCAGAGGAGTTATTTTCTTGGAGAATCTGTGAATTCAGGCCCTATTCTAGAGCTAAAGCTTTTTCATTGCTGTAGGAAGCATAGTCTTTGGCAATGCGGGAACATATGGCTTTTTAAGGGGACGAAGTTCTGTTTTTTGACAAATTTGGGATCTCAGGCTTTGGTACAGATGGAATCTAAGGCTTTGGCACTGTTGGGATCTTAGGTGTTGGGAAATTTGGTAACTGAGGCTTTGGGACAGCTTGTTGGTAAGGCTTTAACATAGTAAGAATCTAAGGAATTGGAATGGTTGGGATTTCAGGCTTTGGTTTGTTTGGCAAGTCGGGTTTTGCAATTGCTGCGATCTGAAGCTTTAGCATAGCAGCAAGCTTGTGCTTTCGCACAGCTTGGATCTCAAGTTTTGCCAAACTTGGTAAATCAGGTATTGGGACAGCTGACAGCCTTTTCGTCGGCACAATTGGTACTTAAGGCTTTGGCATAACAGGAATTTAAGTCTTTGGTACTCCATGGCTGTTTTTCAGCTATGGCGTAGTCATAATTGATCAAATCAAACTATGCTGTAAGTCAATTTGAAAGGTAAAAAATGGAGGTGGAGGCGCAGTTAAAGAGAGGGATATTGAGGCAATTCTCAACAGGATCCTTTAGGAAGAGCGGAAAATTCAGTTTCAAGAGGCAGAATTCATTCGATCCAAGAAGGAATAATTTGAGATTCAGTTTCAGCAGGCAATCGTCGCTTGATCCGATTCGAAGGAGTATGGCTGGAACCTATAGACCATCTTTAAAAGATGAAAGACTCTTAAACCTAACAGTTTGTTTAATCGCGCCACCCAAATGAATTCTACTGCTAAAGCTGCTATTCGTAAGAATGCCAAGAGATAAACATACAGACATTGAGGAGTTATTTTGTTGGAGGATCAGTGAATTCAGGCCGTCTTGTAGAGTTTTTAAATTTCATATATTTATGTATGAAATACAAAACATAGATGAATGTCCATAAGTATAACAGTTTGTTCATAAGAAAAGTGTTATTTTAGAAAGATATTAAGTTTTAAGTACATTTTGAAAATGATAAGAGTGGTTAGTATATTTCCCTTGTGTGCATTAATATGAAGAAAGAAACTAAAATCAGGGCAAACGATTTCATTTAATAAACAGAACTGACATGTGTTACATCAAATATTATAACAACTTACATTATTTCAACTCTACATATCTATGCAAATGGTGTACCAATCATATAAAAAGTCATCAGTTTATAATTTTCAAAATCACTAACATTTTAATGCAGTAAAATAGGAGAAGCAATGGCTGAAATATCAGAAGAAAACAAATAGAAAAGATGGTCTAATGAAAAATCAAAGAAAAAAGATAAAAAGAGTTAACTCACTTGCATGGACTGGACTAATTGGGCAATTGTTTTAACTTCAGCAATGCCCTTCTGTAACTCATCCAAAACAGAGAAACTTTGTTGAGAGATGGTTTGAGTAAGCCTCTCAGAGCAACTATCTCGAACAGAAAGTAATCTATATGTATAAATGAGGATTAGAGTTAGAAATATACATCAAAAGATCGATATGAGTGTAGATACATGATTAAAATATATTTAACCGGGTTTTAAACTCTTCGGATTGAGGAAAAGTAGGATTAATCCACAACTTTGATGTATTCCAAGTGTTGCGCACAGAATATGAATCTGCAAAAAAAGAATTATGTGTAACATGTGATGAATAACTTTCAAAAAGTAATGTGAAATTTAATAGTTGCATGTTACCTTGAAATTTATGGGCTTTTATGAGCTGCATAACAACAATAATAGGCTGGTTGTTAGAACTTAAAAGGTGAGGTATAACTTGATCAACAAATTCACCCCAGAATGTAGCAGATAACTTGTTCCTCCTGTCAAATAGAAATAGTGTATAATATTTAATATATGTATTTATGAAATATATCATTAACCGATGGTTGTCTGTTTATTCTTACTCATCATCTTCTAGTTCGATATCCATATACTTCCTAGTAATTTCACCTTGTTTTTGCGATTGGACCTCACTAAAATTGACAATCTCTCCGATAACATCTAAAGAAATATGAAGATGTTAAAATAAGTACCATCAATCTATTAAAAAAATATATAAAAATAAATTAAAATAAACACAAATATTACCAAATAATTCACTCTCGTTGACATCAACTTTATTTATCAATTGATGATATGGTCGCAGATCAAAGATATTCATCGGAAAAAGTGGATCAATTGTTTCAGCCACTGTTGTACGTTGAGTAAACGTCAGCATCAATCTATGTTTTGTGGTGTTGAACCTCTCCTTGTTTTGGCAGACGATAAAGTTCGCCATAAGATATAATCCAAGCTCATTAATTTTTTTGTTGAAAATATGCAAAACAGACTTCCCAATAGAAGCATGTATACGATCACCCTACAAAGAAATTACAATACATAAAAGATGGTAAGTTTATTATATATTTAAAATACCTAGTTGAGTTTCCATGGAATTGTACCAATGAAAGCCTTTTTCATGTGATGGTTTCTGTTTATCTAAGTTTGGGTTTCGGATAGCTGATGCTTCAAGGAAAAAAAGAAAGAGAATTCAGTGGTCTCTGGTGCTGATTTTCTTAAGAGCTTCTTCATTGTCAATATTGTCTGGTTCGATATGTTTGTATGATAAAATATGGCCTATCTTATATGATAGGAGATTTTTACAGCGACTTCCCTATCAGTTTCTGAAAGTGAATTTGATGGAGTTTGGTATTGATTCCAAGAGAAAAGGCGAGGCAAATTTCTGGACCTTTTCACTTGAGAAAGCAAGAGCAAGTCGATGAAACTTAGATTTTACAGAAGCTTCGTGGCCTCTATTTCGTGCAGAATAGTGCAGAATCTTGCTTCATGCGCACAAAAAAATCTATAGATATTGACATTTAAATTTCGAAGAGTACAAAGGATAACAATCTGGAAGAGCAAAACATATCTATGGATATTGACATTTAATTTTCGAAGAGCACAAACCAATTAGCAAGGCAATAACATAATAAAAATACCTTTTATTATATAAAGTGAACAGCATCGACAACATGCTAAATCATACCTTCTTTTACAACATGCTAAATCATAATTGTTTCACAGTTAGAACTAAACAAAATACACAGAATAACAGTATGGACGAGCAAAACAAATCTATAGATTTTGACATCTAAATTTCGAAGAGCACAAAGGATAACAATCTGGAATAGCAAAACAAATCTATGTATATTGACATTTAATTTTCGAACAGCACAAACAAATTAGTAAGGCAATAACATAATAAAAATACCTTTTCATCTTGTAGAACCAATTCAATGGAGAATATAGAGCCAGGATTAAAACGATCCGGTTTTTCCCACATACGGACAACGAGAACTTTCAACTTCCATTGCATCTTTGAAATAGTTATATCCTTGATGAAATCATTGTTAGCGGCCATGTTATTGCTAATTCGTAAGTTTTGTTGAAATCTTGGTATAAGAACGAACATTAGAATTGAAGCAGTTGTAGGTGTGGAAGAAATATATATTTTGAGGTTTGAGCAGTTGCTACCCAGTAAAGTAAATCGTGGGTTAGACAATTCAGCCTAACGTGACTTTGCAGAGACAATACGTGAGTTTCCAGAGAGAATTTAGGGTTAATTGAAGGTAAAATTTGTTTTAAAATAAAATAAATATAATTTAGATATATTAAGGGAAGTTTGAACGATTTGTTTCTTTTACCCACGTTCAATTAATGCTTTTAAAAAAAATTTAATTAATAAATTCGAAGGGAATCTTGAGCGGCGGTTGGAATAATTTTAAAAAAAAATTTAAGTTTACACGGTTTGTTTCTTTTACCCACGTTCATTTAATGATTTTAAAAAAAATTTAAATTAATAGAGTCTAAGATAATGTTTAGCGGGAGTTTTGGAAGAATTTTGCAATAAAATTTGACTAAATAACTTCTACAGAAAATACCTAATGTAAGTCAGATTGTAGTTTGTTAGTATAATTCCTAATATCTTGGAGAAATTCCTGTCATGCCAAGTGTCGGTTTATTATTATTCCACTTGGCTTCCTAAGAGCCTTTTATCCTTAGCTTTTAATTATAGATAAATTCCAACAACTTTATTTATTTATTTTTTGTGTTTGACTGTCGTCCATTTCGTTGAACTAACTGCTCGATTAATGGTATTTTAATCGAGTCTCCCGATCCGATCTCAAATATTAATCGTACTCAGCTGAATGAAATTGGATTCGAGCAATTCATGTGAGTCAACCTGAATTTATGTCCGAACAAATATATTTTTCTCTTCTTTAGAAGAGCAAGACTTTTGACATATGTGCTTGGAATCTTTTTAAAGAAGCTTGAGGACATAGCTATATACGTGGCCTTTGGTGCTCTCCCCAGATATACGTGTAGATTTTTGACTACTCCCACATATATACTTTTCTTCTCTCTCAATATATCCCTTAGCAAAGCAGAGAGAAACGATCAGGTAAAAATTTCTTTCTGAAGTTTATTATTGATTCATTCTCACATCTTCTGACCTTTGTCCTCATGGGTTCTCTTCACCCAAATTCATTGATCAAATTTTTTTTTTCACCTTTCCTTCAAAAATTCTGTTCTCTGTTACTTATTCTCCATGCTAAAACGTTATATCTTGATTTTTCGGTAAAAAAATTCAGTACTTCTTAGGTCTTAGAGGTTAAAAGACACCAGAATATCTTTGGTGATTTCTTCTTCTGCCATTCAAGTATGTGCGGGTTTCAGTTCCAATCCCAGAATTCGAGAACCAACAAGAGAGTTTTTTGGGGAAAAGGAGGGTTATGAAAGAAGTCGAATGCTGATGGTGCTAGGTTGATTTATCAGTTTGCTGCAAGTGTTTCACTGCCTTGATCTCACCAAGTTATGTATTGGCTTCAACGTTGTGGTAAATCTTTTCTGCTTTTATACTTTAATGTTAATTTCTCAGGTGAGGGATAAAAAAGCCTTAGTGCGATAGCTTATTACATGTTGGTTGGTTAATACTTCAGACCAAAGCTCCATCAATTAGCTTTTGTTTAGCTAGGAAGATGAAAAGATCATCCAGATTCAAATACCATCTCTTTTGCTTAAATATTTTTCTGTACATTTGAAAGTGCATAATCAAATCCTAAGATTTTGGTTTAATACATGGGATTTAGTTAGTATTGACTTTCTTATTAGGCCGCCTCTACTAACAGATATTATGCATTGTCAAACATGTGCTACATAATAATGAAGTTAATGTGTATCGTACGTTTGAATTTGAGGTTCTATGTTTCATAAATTGATTCATTTGATATGCTTTTGCATAGTAAATTGTTTCGTAACCATTATATTTACTTAGTTGACCAGTAAGTAATATTTTTATCATTTCGTCCAGATAACTTATTTACTACTTTGAATTTTTTAATATAGGCATTTAATTTCACGATCTACTTTATTTTTAGGCGATTCTTTAATAGGCTGATGCACCTCCAAAAATTTTGTTTCAATCATTTTCTTTCTGCTTCTGTATTATATTTGTATGTTCTTATAGTCTTAAAATCTGCTTAGGTGAACCAGACAAGATAACGATTTCTTCGATACCTTAGTCATTTGAGCATATCATACATTTGCTCTAATTGGTTTTGGGGGGTTTCTTCTTGAGTGGTGGAGGAGATTAGGACTAACTTATGGTTTTCAGAAGCTTCCTTTTCTTTTTATGAAGCTCTATCATTTGTATTTGATGGTTGATAATTTTTTTTATTTCCAAGATGCAATAGATAATCTTTGTGCTGTCAAATATTCAGTAGGGTCCCTTTATATCATTATATGTCGTCAATATTCATGTGATATTTCAAAAACATGGATCATATTTTGTCCTTTTGCATTGACATGATACTAAACTGCAGATCTTAGGTGCTTAAACAAGAATTGTCTTCAAGATTTCAAATTTAGCATTTTATTTTACCTAAAAGATTATCGGAAAGAAGGTTGACAGTCTGACCTTATAACTCTCTTCATTTGCCTTTGTGTTCGTGAATTCTGAGATAGAAGAAGAGGAGAAAAAAATTGAGAACTTCATAAACATGGGCGACAAACAGTGGTTCTTGTGACATTATGGATTACTTCCACCTTTCAAATTTTTTTCTCTTGCTAATTTTTCTTTCATTTAATTGCTTACCCAAGAAATTATTTGATGTCTCAATCTATATCTGATTTTTATAAGAATAAATCTGTTAGGAAAAAAAAGCATTAAGTGGTTAATTATTATTGCCAAGGAAGTTCAAACTTTGATAAACACAACGTGAGTAAAAAGCTTTGTGTGTAGCTTAGAAGGATCCATCCCAATGGTAATGTTACGCTTCTTATTAGCTTGATTTGACATTGGAGTTGCACATGTTTGAAGAAAAGAGTATCTGAAATTATCTCAAAACCCAAGTTGTTTCTTTGTTGTATTCATCAGCTTGTTGCATCTTCTATTGCTTGCAGTGAAAGCATATATATGCTATTCTGACCAATACTACCGTGGAGATCATGGTTCCTCGAGATGTTCTTAACTCTAAAGTCTGAATATGCGAGAATGGAAGCACAGGTACGTTAGCACATACCTTTTCCTTTTATTAATTGGCGTAGCGGGAAGACAAGATAATTCAAAATTGTAACTCGACTTCTTAGTTTAAGAACTTGGGGAAGTAATCAAAAGATGGATTATGTTAAACTCTTTTTTCTAGCCTTACTCAAATTCAAACAGGGAGTCTAAATGCTGAAGACAAAGAGAGGTAGACGACTCGGGATACAACTGAGGATCAAACTCAAGTTGGCTTTTCAAGATGGGCAGGTCAGCATGAGATTGTCTGAAATAGAACTTCTAATATACTTGACGCTGCTTGTGTGATTAAGTTTAAGATTATTTTGGCTCAAATTTCTCAATTGGCAAATCTCCTTTTGTTCATGCTATATTTTCGTTACTAGAATGTTTTCATTTCCTTTCACCAATAATTTTATTTTGAAGTAAAGACACTAATCAACTTTTGGCTGTAAGGGTTCTTGTGATGAATTTAATGAGGCAGGTGTCGAGACTAATGAAATATTTTTACTTTTTTGAGAAGCCATTAAGCTAGGTCGGGATTCAATTGGATATATAACCTATTACAACCTGTATTCTACTTTGTAATAGGCATAGTTTGGCGTTTAAATTAGAATTGAAATTAAGTTTAACTTATTCAACATTGCATCCAATAAGGTCAAATTAAATCCTTAAAGTTCGAAAGTCAGTCATTCTCATCAGACTATAGGAAAAATGTCGTGATATTTAATCTGTGCTCATATTTCTTATTGGGAAAGAGCATTACTTCTGCTGCTTTATATAATATTATATGAAGTCATTGGTCTTTGCTGGCATCTAGAATTTGGGAGGCCCTCTGATTTACTCTTGAGATCACAATGTAGTGTGCTATTTACTATGTGTCAAAATAGACACATCTCTGCTAAAATGTGAAATTGCAGAATGCTTTTCTAAAACACTAAAACTCGTCGATTCTTAAATAAATGATTTGAGTAAGCAACTCCTATTATATTTTAAAACTACAGGATTTCAGCTAATGTGAGCTTTAAGCTACTCGATTATGTTTTCAGGCGATCATTGTGCTATTTGGGATATATTCTTGATTTTCCTTTCCTAACATTGCATTACTACTGGAAGTAATAGTTTGCATTGCTTCTCTTCACTATTTTGCTGCAAGTAGGATACTACTAATAATAATTTTGTTGCAGCCAACATTTCGATGCAAAATGTTTGGTGTGGACAAAGATCACTTGATTTAGCCCATGTATTTGCCTACAACAATATTTGGAGAGAGGTTTCTGCAGCAGTCAAGTTCCCTTTCAGATAGGATAATATGCCATACTACTACTTTTCTGAATATTTATACTAATACTAATATCCAAGATGAGTTACATTATTCTGATAATGATTTTCTTGCACTTATTCCTTAGGATTTATTTACTTTCTGGTGAAAGAAACTTACCCTGAGGACATTGGTTATATGGCTATTATAGGCATATGCTGCAATTGAAATGACATCTTTTAATCTGTTGTGTCCTTTCATGTAGTATATTTCTAATGGGACGATAAACATAATGTCCTGTCTTAATGTCAGAAGATGCATATGGCATGTGGTGCAGAGAAATAGGGTCTCAATAAGTATCCATTTTATTATGTTTTACTTTTGAGGGATACGATTCTTTATAAAACCTATCTTCTTCTTCTTTCAGTAACAGTGTTCCTTGCTATGACTTTGTGGCTATGCAGGTTTCCTGTTTGCTTGAGATCCTATTGCAATATGTCATATTTCTGGGAAACTCTCTATCACTAGGTACACAAATGGCAACCTGGTGTTGAAATTATTCATATTTTTTCTTGTGTGTAGTTTAATACTCTAATTATAGGTAGCTTGAATTGTGATGACTAAATTTATTAAAACAAGATGGTAAGAAAAAGTTGTAACACTTTTGTGATTTTTTGCAAGGGATATTCTTATTTTAGCTCATCCTTTGTCAATTCGTTTACCCTGAAATCCCCTCTCCTCCTTCCTTTCGAATTTCTTCACTTTCGGTCTCTAGCCTTGAATTTCTTCTCCATTGGGTGTTTCAGTGCTTAGGGATTTTCTTTCATGTCAGTATTCTCTTCTAGCCTTGATTTTATTCTCCAAGTAAGAGCTCCTCCAAACAATATCCTTTTAATTTTGCCATAGAACCTTTTGGAATCCTTGCTCTTCCGACTGAGGATGTTAGGAGTTGGGACAACAGAAAGTGGGCGGAATTTTGTGCTATTGGCAAATAATGAAGAATTTTCTTCCGTTGAATGGACCAATTTTTGTAGCCAAATGAAAGTGTCAATTTTGCCGAGTTTGGAGTACAATGAATGTGCAGGCGTGCACCGTTTACCAAACCCGTTTAGCTTTGGTAACTGATGAGATATTAAGAACTTTGAGATAAATGAGGAAAATGAATAGTGTTTGGGGGATCGGAAGGCAAAGGTTTGTCATATCATGGTTCAGTGAATATACAAGTGAAAACACAGCAAGTTGGTCTTTTAATGTGTGGTTGATGTCTTTTATTTCTTCTATTAGCATTCTTACATTTGCAGTTTTGTATGATTTAGAATTCTGCATTTTTTATCTGACTTAGCAATATTATCGAAAAGTTAGATCAAAATATAATATTTTGCTACCAAGCTTAAGAAAATATATACTAGCTACTTGTAGTGCCCAAATGATCAAAATTATTTCTCATTTTGGAAGTCTTAAAGTATTATCCATCTGTTTCAGGCTATATTATCCATCTGTAGGCTATCTTTCAATTTTGCATATGAATTAGACTAGCTTATGATTTTTTATTAGTTAATTCGGTATGTCAAGCCTTTCGCGTTTGGTTTCATAAAGACCTAAATATCTTTAGTAAATTTACTATGTCAGGCCTTTCAAGTTTTGAGCTTTTTGTTTGAGCTAGACATGCTTTCATTGTCTGTTGATCTGTTCATGTCAACATTTATGGCAAAAATCTATATTGCTTACCTTTGTTGATCAAAATACAAGAGCTCTGTGTCTTAGCTTTTTGCTCCATTTAATTTATTACATGGCAGATAGCTACTCTAGCATTCGTCACACTTGGTTGTGGATTGAAATAAATGGTAAGTAAATTTTTTCAATGACTTCTTATTTTAGTAGTCTTGCAGTTTTTTTAGTACTATTATTGATATATAAAATCATATTTTTTTTTTCTATGTTTGGCTTTGCCTATTGATAAAGTTTCATATTCAATGTTGCTTGATGAAGAGGAAGAGCCAGATTTGAGTGATCTATTAATGGCACAATTATTAAATGTGTTGTTTCATTGTTGAATCAAGTCTGGATGGGTGTACCAATAAAAAATTGCTTTTCAGTTTTGAACTTGTGATTCCATTCTCCTTGCATTATTTTTTTAATCACAAGTAGCTTGATAGGCTTGGTGGTTAATTGGTATATTTTCCCCTGTTTTTTCCTTTTTGCGTTAATAGATGGGCTTAATAAGCGCAATGAAACCTAACTGGTGTTCTATTATAGAAGCTTATGAGGAAGTGAATGTGGACCCTTTTCATCTCTTGTACTTGATACAATTTACCCTAACTCTTTGTTTTAAAAAAAAAATTGAAATGGTGTGCAACTCTTTTTTTGAAGTTCAGTCTATTATGGAGTTTGTCATGGACGACTTTCTTGAAAATGGATCTGCAGATAATCTAAACTGGAGGAGCGGCGCCAACAGACAAAAGACGCGAAGAGGAACATAGAAGGGAACATCTCGAATACATATTTGTAGTCCATATAAGTAGTCCAGCAGAATCTACCTCTCCAGTCAGTTTCCACAAATTCAGGTAATCAGGTTTTGAAAATTGGGCATGTGTATGCTGTGTGAATCAATTTTCTGCTAATTAAAGCAGCGCTTGTTACCCTAATATAGTAAGAGGAAAATCCGTCTACCTAAAATATACAGTTATTATCTTTGTGCATGATTATTAATTGATTATTTTTTTGCATGTAAATTGTCAATCTTAAAGCCATCTATTAAGGGAACTTTTGTTGATTGGCTCTATTATTTGAGTATCTATTGAAGTGTTTCTAATAGTATTGTGCATATACTGTGGGTATTGTTTCAGTATTGTGCTAATTTTCCTTAAACATATGCATGTACACAAATTGATAAAAATTTAAATGATACTAGGTCACCCCAACGCAATTGAGAGTATAAAATGGAAATAACGGAACATGATTATTTGAAGATTTTAGCTATGCTCTCCTTTTTATCTAATTAATAGGTTGCACGATTTGACGTTTTATCGTGTCTGCTTGAATACTATTTTTGACTCTTCCCTAGACATGAATACTTTATATATTCCTGGGTTTTCATCTAATTGGATTCTCTTCTACCAACTACTTTACTATTAATCTATTTTGGCACTCTGTATCCCTTTGCTTTTGTTATATTTGTTGAACATTGAGAAGACAAACATTAATGTTGCTTCAAATCATGAGTAGTAACAATCGTATTGGTATATCATTATGCTATATGATAGTTGACAATTGATTATTACTTCTTGCTGCTTCTACAGGCAGGGGCGAATTTGGGGGCGCAAGGGTGTTCATCCGAACACCCTTCGCCGAAAAATTACACTGTATATATAAGGCAAAATCTGTTTTTTACCTCTATATATTAAGTTTTGAACACTCTTAACACAATCCAAAAGTGTAGTTTAGTGGTTAAGGGAGTTCAAAATCTACATAAGGTCATGGGTTCAATTCCTACTAGCTACAAAAAAATATTTTTGAGAACCCCCTTCGTGGAGGTCTTGCCTCCGCCACTGTCTACAGGTGCCTAACATTTTTCAAAGACTGCAAAAGACAACTAAAGCATTATGAATGCATCATCTTTTGACTATATGTGGATGGTACTCTCACGGTAAAGAATGTATCACCTTTTAACCACGCAACATTCATGAATGGATATTTTGTTTCTTTATAAATGTAAATAATATTCAGCAGTTATCATACAACATCTGTTTTTATTTGGTTTGATATTTGAATTGATAATGACGTACATACATCAATTTTTTATATGTAATTTCATATATTAAAACAAAGTAAAAAATAATGCTTCAACTTCTACATTATTGGGCCCGCGTTGGCACGGGCCACCACTGTCTAGTATGTATATATATATATATATATACTTTCACAAACTTTAGAATTATTCCTGAAAGGTTGTGCCCCTACAGAATTACAAAAAAGAATTTATGTTGGAAGAAACTAAAGATAAATTTCTCCTTCCACAAACATACTTCCTTCTCCCCAACAACAGAAAGAAAATACCATTCTTTTATGTTATTCAAATATAGAAAAAGACTCCTTTTCTTGGCGAAGAATTTCTATGGAAGACTTTTAGATTGTCCGTTGACGGATTTCTCTGTAACTCAAGCACAATTTTAGACACTTGATAGGAAGTTGTGGAGGTCGAGTATTAGGGTTGTAGGTTAGGAGTTAGATGACTCTTGCCTTACTTAATACCTTTGTGAGGCTAGTCTAGTAGGATTTTTGTCTAAGATAGCTAGTGGCAATGTTGTTGTAACGACCCGGCCGGTCGTTTTAAGAATTAACGTCCCGATCCCTTATTAACTGCATTCCCCGTGTTTGTTCCTGCTATTGTGAGTTGCCGGGAAGATTTATTTCGAGTTTCGGAGAGTTTTGGGACACTTAGTCCCTAAAAGAGAGTTTAAGTTTTAGAATTTGGACCATAGTCGGAGCAGTGTGAAGACGGCCTCGGAATGGAATTTCGTTGGTCCCGTTAGCTCCGTTGGGTTATTTCGGAGTTAGAACATGAGTTAGAACACTTTGTCGTTTTGTTTAGACACTCTGGAGTTAGAACACTTTGTAGTTATTCCATAGCTTGTGATTTCATGAGATTTCGGGTTTTGGGAAATGTAGTTTCAGTTTGAGAGTTTGTATTATATATGCCGAGCGGCATCTTAAATGTTTCATTATGTTATTGCGCAGTTTTTGGCTAGCTTTATTCTGTTGTTTCTTTTTTCGCAATTTGTTAGGCTTACCTGGTCGTAGAGACTAGGTGCCGTCACGATAGTTCACGGAGGGCGAATTGGGGTCGTGACAAGTTGGTAACAGAGCTCTAGGTTCATAGGAGTCATGAATCACAACTCGATTTATTAGAGTCTCGCGGATTGGTACGGAGACGTCTGTGCTTATACACGAGATGCTATGTAACTATTAAGAAAATTTTTACTTCATTTGAATTCCTTGTCGTGCGAGATTTTGGTATCAAAATGCTAAACTTCTGTCTTCTATTCTCTCACATATGGTGAGTACATGTGCTACTGGAGGTGACCAGACACCCGCGCCCCCTACGAAAGCCGTCAGAGGTCGGGGTTGGGGTAGAGGCCGAGAACGCGCACGCACACGCGGTGCAGCCAGAGCACCCGCGCGAGCTGCCACTGAGGAGCCACCGACAGTACCAGCCGGAGCCCGGGCGCCTGACACGTCTACTGCTACTACTACTCCAGCTCTCCAAGAGACTAGCATAGTTTATGAGTATGTACGCCACTCTAGCTCGGCCAAGGTTGCTTCCCCTTGCTGCAGCCACATCCTAGGCCCGGGGAGGAGCATAGACTCGCCGCCCACACTCCTGAGCAGCGAGTCCATGCTGAGCAGATCCCAGAGATTGTACCGGCGCATCCTGTAGCCCCAGCTCAGCCCGATGAGAGGGCAGTAGCTTCAGAGGAGGAGCAGAAGAGGCTTGAGAGGTTCAAGAAGTATCAGCCTCCTACATTCAGTGGACTAGCATCAGATGATGCTCTGGGATTTCTAGAGGAGTGCTACCTTATCCTCCGTACCATGGGTATATCAGCATCGAGCGGGGTTTCCTTCATTACTTTTTAGCTTTGAGGAGCCGCTTATCAGTGGTGGCGTGCTTATGAGTTAGACAGGCCGGATGAGGCAGCTTCCCCGACTTGGGCTCAATATTCAGATATCTTCACGAGAAAGTATTTTCCCCAGAGCCTCAGGGACGCTTGGCGCGCAGAGTTTGAGCATTTGCGCCAGGGTACTATGGCTGTCCAGAGTATGCTATCCATTTCACCGACTTGGCTAGACATGCACCAGCTTTGGTTTCTAATGTTTGCGAGAAGGTTCGCCGGTTTATTGAGAGGCTCATTCCCAGCATCAGGTCTAGTATGCTCGGGAGTTGGAGATGGATATTTCTTATCAGCAGGTGGTGAGCATTGCCAGGAGAGTATAGGGTATGCATGCTCAGGACAGAGAGGAGAGGGAGGCCAAGAGGTCTCGAGAGTCAGGTTACTATTTTGGTGCTCGTGCCCCAGCTGCAGCTCATCATGGTAGGGGTTATATGAGTCACCCCGTTCATTCAGCTCTTCCAGCAGCCTGTGGCATTCCAGCTCCTCCCAGGCCCCAGGAGCCTTACTATGCACCTCCAGTATCTAGTGCGCCTCCTGCACGAGGTGTTTCCAGTGGTCAGTCCAGCAGACCTGGCCCGAGCCAGTCTCAACCGCCACGTCTTCCTAGAGCTTGTTTTGAGTGTGGTGACACACGCCATGTGGTGAGGGATTGCCCTAGACTTGGGAGGGGCGCACCTCAACAGACGTCTCAGCCACAGCGCGCCCCACAGAGTTTTCAGGCTATGATCACAATACCAGTTGCTATCCCACCTGCTCAACCAGCTAGAGGTGGAGGTCGGGGAGGTAGAGGTCTCCCTAGAGGGGGAGGCCAGGCCAGATACTATGCCCTTCCTGCCCGTACTGAGGTGGTTGCCTCCAATTCTGTCATCACTAGTATTATCCTAGTCTGTCATAGAGATGCATTGGTTCTATTCGATCCAGGCTCAACTTGTTCTTATGTGTCCTCTTATTTTGCCCCGCATTTGGGCGTAACTCAAGATTCTTTGAGTTCTCCTGTTTATGCTTCTACTCCTGTTGGAGATTGTTGTGGACCGCGTTTATCGGTCGTGTCTGATTGCTCTTAGTGGTTTTGAGACCAGAGCCGATTTGTTATTGCTCAGCATGGTAGACTTTGATGTAATCTTGGGCATGGACTTATTGTTGCCCCATTATACTATTCTTGATTGTCACGTGAAAACCGTGAGGCTGGCTATGCCAGGTGTACCGCGAGTAGAGTGGATGGGTACTTTAGATCATACTTCTAGTAGAGTTATTTCGTTCCTTAAGGCTCGGTGTATGGTTTAGAAGGGCTGTGAAGCATATCTAGCTTATGTGAGAGATGTCAGTATTGACACCCCTACAGTTGATTTAGTCCCAGTAGTATGCGATTTCTCTGATGTGTTTCCAGCTAATCTTCCGGGCATGCCGCCCGATAGAGATATCGATTTTGGCATTGATCTGTTGCTGGGCACTCGGCCCATTCTATTCCTCTGTGCCGTATAGCTCCTCCTGAGTTGAAGGAGCAGTTACAAGAATTGCTTGTTTCATTCGGCCCAGTGTATTACCTTGGGTGCTGCTGTCTTGTTTGTGAAGAAAAAGGATGGTTCTATGCGTATGTGTATTGATTATCGCCAGTTGAACAAGTTACAGTGAAGAACCGTTATCCTTTAACTCGTATTGATGACCTGGTTGATCAGTTACAGGGTGTTTGTGTGTTTTCTAAGATTGACTCGGAAGGGTGCTCTGTTCCAGTGGACGGAAGAGTGTGAGGAGAGCTTTCAAAAGCTCAAGACAGCTTTGACTACAGCCGTAGTGTTGATATTTCCTACTGGTTCGAGGTCTTATACTGTCTATTATGATGCCTTAAGATTTGGCCTTGGAGCGGTATTGATGCAGGACGGTAGGGTGATTGCCTACGCGTCCAGATAGTTGAAGGTTCATGAGAAGAATTATCCTGTCGACGATCTTGAGTTAGCTGCTATTGTTCACGCCTTGAAGATCTAGCGTCATTATTTGTACGGTGTGCCTTGTGAGATTTATTGATCACCGGAGTTTGCAACATCTGTTCAAGAAAAAGGACCTTAATTTGCGTCAGAGGAGGTGGTTAGAGCCGCTGAAGGACTATGATATCACTATTTTGTATCACCCGGGCAAGGCCAATGTGGTGGTCAATGCTTTGAGTCACCGGGCGGAGAGTTTGGGGAGTCTGGCTTATTTACCAGCACCAGAGAGGCCCGTGGCGATGGATGTTCAGGACTTGGCCTGTCAGTTTGTGGGATTGGATCTTTCGGAGCCTAGGCGGGTCCTAGCTTGCGTGATTTCTCGGTCTTCCTTGTTCGATCGTATTCGAGAGCGGCAGTTTGATGACCTTCATTTGTGTGCCCTTAGGGATCGGGTTCTGCAGGGCGATGCCAGAGATGTGATCATTGGTGTTGATGGGGTATTGAGGATGCAGGGTCGGGTTTGTGTACCCAATGTTGATGGGCTTTGGAACTTGATTCTAGAGGAGGCCCATAGTTCGCAGTATTCCATCCATCCGGGTTCCGCGAAGATGTATCAGGATTTGAGGCAGCACTATTGGTGGAGGCGGATGAAGAAAGTTATAGTTGGGTTTCTAGCTCGGCGCCTCAATTGTCAGCAGATAAAGTATGAGCACCAGAGACCGGATTGTTGTTGTGTGATTCATGTTTTTGACATGCGAGTATGATTACACTATTGTACTAGTGAAACAAATAAATTGATATTAAAGGAAATATATATTCTTGAATTATGTTTTTCCTTCGTCGGCAAACAGAATTTGTTTGAAACTGTTGACGTTTTAGAAAAATAAAAAGTTATTCATAATTAGTACCTCTTTAGATCTACCATTATTGTTTTAATTAGTGGAATTTTAATTCAGCGAGACGTTTAAAAAGAGATAAAATAACAATATGTTATACAATACTTCTATAAATTAAAGATCTTTCTTAAGGGATGTGCAAAAACTTTAAAAGGTAGAGAATATGGAATATTAATTATGTTATTCTTCTATTTCTCTTTACTATTACCGAAACCATTCAAGTACAACGTGTAAGCATAAACTATAATTCATACCACGATCTTGAACATGATAATCTTACATGTAATCGTCATAGAAAACATACTTGAAGTGGA